GGAATATTTTTCTATATTTAGGGGTAAATTTGGTACTGTATACAAATGTATTGAAAAGGATACCAATAAAGTATGGGCTGCTAAGTTCATTAAAACAGACCCACAGAGAAGGAAGCTGTGAGAAAAGAAATAGCAGTAATGAATGAGTTACAGCATCCTAAGTTGTTACAGTGTGCCGATGCATTTGAGTCACCAACTGAGATGGTCATGATTCTTGAGTAGTAAGTCAATATCACCTCTTCACATCTTTTTAGAATAAATTAACCTTTTTACTGCCTTTTTAATGCTTGTCTCCTTCCATGAAATGTCCATGCCAATCACAGCACCATGCTACTATAGAACTAGTTCTGTCTTCCATTATGTGGTTTCCTGCTTGTAAACATCCCTGATGATATTATTTCTCCTTTAATTGTTCCCACAGTTTTCAAAAAGCTGACAAATCAATAAAGGTTTGCTCAACAGACCAATCACCAAATGTAATCATTCACCTTATAGCCTATGTACAGTCTGCCTAGTCTGTGATGATAACCACCCAAATTAAAGTGAGAGGTGTGGCATCTAAGTGGTTGATCATAATTTCAATTTTGAGCAATTTATTGCTATTTTTTGTTCCCTACTAATATAGGAAAATTTGGAATCAAATATTTATTTAGGATGATTTTTTTTTCCATGATTAAACAAAATATTGATTTTTTTTTATCAAAAATGATTGTTCTTGTCTTTTTATGTAATTGTGTCTGATTCTAATTTTTTCTTTCAACAGTGTTTCTGGTGGAGAGTTATTTGATCGAGTTATTGATGATGATTTTGAACTTACTGAGAAAGAAGTCATCATATTTATGCGACAAATTTGTGAAGGTGTTCGCCATATGCATGATAATGGAATTCTACATCTGGACTTGAAACCAGAAAACATTCTCTGTGCAAGCAAACACAGCAATAAAATCAAACTCATAGATTTTGGATTAGCGAGAAAGTACAACCCAAGTGAGAATTTGAAAGAGATGGTCGGTACTCCAGAATTTGTCGCTCCGGAAGTCATCAATTTTGAATCGTTAAACTTTGCGACTGATATGTGGAGCGTTGGCGTTATTTGTTACGTTTTGTTGAGTGGCTTATCTCCGTTTATGGGAGATAATGACGCAGAGACTTTGACGAATGTCACAATAGCGGAATGGGACTTTGATGATGAATCATTTGATGAAATAACTGATGACGCCAAGGACTTTATCGAAAAATTACTCATTAAACAAAAAAGGTTGGTATTTACTGCAGTTTTAAATCCAAAGATGGGTCATGGAAACAAATTTTTGTGAGCCAGAGAAAATTGTGAAAGTTTGTAGTAGTGAAAATGAAGTGTCAGTTACTTTTGCAAAATTTTGTTGTAACAAATGCCGTACAATCCTGAAATTGATAAACCAACTTTTCCTTCATTTTTAACCCCTTCAATACCAATGCATCTTTTGTCACATTTCACAGAAGAAGAAGTTTATCAAGACCTGTGATCCAGGGAAATTATGTCTATCTGGTCAAACTTTAAAGCGGGGGAGTCGTCACCTGTGCATGCGTCAGATGGCCATAGCGTGGCATTGTTTACAAACAAGTGTCTACCATGAGCCTTTGCGTTTTTAGCATGTGTTGTTATTGTAGCCTGAGACTCAATTCCCGTGCGTGCGCAGATGACGACCCTCCCACTTTAATAAAAATATTATGGAAAAAAATTGCCTCAAATGTGGCGTTTAAATGTGTTTAAAATTAATGTTATTTTATTTGTCCACAGTGACAGGATGAGTGTACAAGCATGTCAGGCACACAAATGGCTACAAAGAGATACAGACACAATGAAAGCTGCCAAAATTTCAACAGCTAAGCTAAAGAAATGGATGGCAAGAAGAAGGTGGCAGGTAAAAGAATAAGTGAATCAATCACTTGACTCACCGACCCAACCTACTCAGTCAGATTAAAATAAGATCTTACTGTAAAATACTTTATTTTCGCTTAGAATTAATTTTTGCTATTCCAGCTAATATACATTTTTTCCTATATTTTACATTCAACTATGAAATCTAGCAAAAATAGGGGGTACACATTCGCAAACCTACAGATATAGAAAATATATTGAATGATTGTAAAAAAATTGAATAATTGTGAAATTGTAAAAAAAAGTGCTAACAACTTGCAGTTAATGACCCTCCCACTTATAAGATAAGATAAGATAACTTTATTGACATTATTCTTTCTATAGAAGATGAACATAGTCAAGTGAAATAAAAAAAAAAGT